GAGTGGACTTTGGAGGCTTTTTTTGGCCCATTTGCACAGCACAGGCTTTCTTGTGCTTGTCTTTGTGCAAAGTCAGGCATCACAGCAGCATCTTGGTTCTCCACCAAGGATGCAAATTTTATCATTTTAATGCATTATTATAATTGGTTGCCTTCAGACAGTCTGGAGTGGTTCTCTGCTTGTGCCTATGTCTGCCGCCTGATTTAGTCAGGGCTAGCTGCGGCCTTCTCTAGCTGTTTGCTTTTGCCTTCTGCCCTGTTCACCTGCCTTAGAAGTTTCCTTACTTGACATAAAGTCCCATGTGGGGGTCACATATTAGGTGGTAGACTTATTGCTGGGAAAATGAGTTTTTCCATTCAAGTCCTCTAATTGGGAAACAATTTTAGCAGTGTCTGTAACAGGTCTACTCGTGTTAAACAGTGGAGTGATGGTGTCATGTTTACTGTAACACACGAAGCTACTGCAACGGGCAGAGGGGCATACTCCATAATGCAGGGATGGGGTAGGGTGGGGTGGAGGTCCTTGACAATGGGTCGAATATGCAGCAGATGGCAAGCTGGTGACAAGGCCCTGGATTTTCTGTCCTCCCTAAAATTCTGCATCCTGGCTGTCTGGTAAAGCATCTGCCAGCTGCCACCCCTGTGCTCAACCAACCGGCTTTCTAGAATCAGCAGGTGAAGGAGTGAGGCTGTGAGGTAGCTTGCGTAAATGACAGCTGTGTCCCTGAACGAGGAGCAAGATGTAGATCAAATATGGACATTTTCCTTCTCTGAGAGTTCCCCTGAGGACATATAAAACCAGGGATAAGACCTAATTAACTAATGTACAGTGCGCACATAAAATATATGAGCTCCCGTCATATTTTATCTCTACTTAACCTCATAACACATTCATAGTTACTGCCCTAACAGGTTTGTTGTAAAACCAATAAAAGGGAAAACAAGCCTGTGCTGTAACTTAGCTGTGTCTGGAATTAAATCAAGGTATGGATTGCACCTTGCTTTAAAAGCTCCAACAATGTGTGAGTTGTGCCTTGCTTGCTCTGAAAAACTAGAGACAATTCTATGATATGGTTTAATATAAGAATCAATAGGCCTGGACCAGCAAGGTGGCTCAGAGGGTAAAGGCACTTGCTGCCAAGCCCAACAATGAGTTCCAACCCACATGGTGGAAGGAGAGAAGCAATTCCTACAAGCTGTTCTCTGACTTCCGCTTGTGCATAGTGACTCTCACTCCCCACCCCCAAAACATAAGTAAGTGTAGTTAAGAGAAAAGAACCAAGGAGCCTGTCCCACCCCTTGACTAACTGAAAAAGCCTTCTAGACTAGGTGGCATTGTCAGCTGGCTTGGGAGACAGAAGAAACTGAAGAGATTGTACATGAGGCTCCAGTTGTGGTTGTGGAATATTCCTTTACACTGTGTGACAATGTGTCACTGTGATCGCTTTAATAAAGAGTTGAATGGCCATTAGCTAGGCAGGAAGAGGTTAGGCGGGACTTCTGGGACAGAGAATTCTGGGAAGAAGATAGATTTTGCCAGGCGGATGAAGAGGAAGCAGGATGGGCAGTGCAGAGTAAAGGTAATGGAGCCACGTGAAAGAATGTAGATGAAAAGATATGGGCTAATTTACATTGTTGGAACTAGTTAGGAACAAGCCTAAGCTAAGGCCGAGCTTTTATAATATGGTAAGTCTCTCCCCCCTCTCTCTCCCTCCCTCCCTGTGAGCTGGCAGCCCAAAGGAAAATTCATTTACAGATCATACTTTGCTTTTATCTTTCATTTCCTCCATCTTCTTGGTCTTAACAATTACAGCCAGTGGTTCCAGGGGCAAAGGTCAGTGGCATCTAGAAAACACACTTATTGCAGTGATGAATCAAGCAAATAGAGTAATTCACAATTAGTCTGTATTAGTCTGTAGTATTCCAGAAACGGCTGGCATACTACAAAGCCCCAAATAAACTTGTCCTAATTCCACGTCTATCCCTGAGGGAAGTGTAGCAAATTTAGACGGTGCATAGTGTTAGGAAAAAAAAAAAAAAACTCACTAATTTTCACCATTTTCTCACTGGCCAAACGGGTCTCCTAGTACTAAGCTCAGTATGAGAATAAAAGTAGGAAAATTTATCTTTATCTGTTCCAATGCTTGTTGGGTGTTGGAACGTCTACCCAGTGCTATTCTTCACTACACAGAATTTATTTAATAACCTAACACCACATCTATCACTGGGTAGGAGAATTACAGCGTTTATCATTACACTACATGAGATGATTCCCTTGTGACTGACTTTTGCACATGTGTTTGAGCAAATACCAGTGAACAGAGGTATCCATCTAGAAAAGTGCTTATGAAATACATAGTAATACAGAGGTTTCAGTTGGTGGAAAGGGGTTTCTGAAGTCTCGTGTAGGGCTGCTAGCCATGCTTTTAGCATTTTCTTTCTTCTTTTCTTTTCTTTTCTTTTCTTTTTTCTCTCCTCTCCTTTCCTCTCCCCTCCCCCCCCCTCCCCTTCTCTCTTCTCCTCTCCTTTCCTTTTTCTTTCTTAAATAGTAAGGTTGCTGCAGAATGCTACCCTGTAAGCATAACATCGAGGTTAGTATCTGAATCATCAGCTTTGAATAATGGCAAGAATGCGCCTGTTCTCATTCGTTCATAGGAGGCAGGGGGAGGAGCACCAAAGACTTAGTCCAGCCATGCCCTGCCTCCTGAGCGTCAGTACCCCCCATGTAACTGTGCCCAGCTGCACATGGGATGGTTTCAGGGAGTGCTACAATGGGCAGGAGGTAGTTAACCAAAGGGGGCTCTGTCTTTACAGCTTTTGAGAGGTTGTCACCCATGCTTGGTTGGGACTTCTGGCGACACAGGTGTTTCAGGGTTGTCCGTGTTCCATTAAGTAAGCCTGATAACCTCAAAGGTTCACAAAGCCAGATTCAGTGAAATCATTCCTTTGGTCCATTGTTGATACCCAGGAAACGATCCCTCCACAGAGATTTTGGTTGAAATCTCTAGCTGGTGAATGAGGAAAACCGGGTTGGGGAAGCATGCACGTCCTCAGAACTGCTCTTCTCTGGTCGGGATCTAAAGCTTATGTTACAATGTTCATTTTGGTAAAACAGGATGAGTGCAGTGCTCATTATTTTTATGGATTCTCAAGAGCGTTGCAGGAATAACCATGAGTGAAAACACAATGTGCCAGCTGTACTCTCAGTGACAGCAAAGTGACAACTAACCCCGCTTTATGAAAGGCATTTTGAGATCAATGGCTTCTATGTGAGGTTTTTGATAATTTAGATTTTAATACAATTAGTTCGCATATTTAAGTGACAAAATATAAAGCACCACTTTAAAATAATTTCCTAATGCTTCCATTTATCTGCTCTAATTTACAAATGCAATTACTTCCCAGTTGTATTTAATTGTCATTTACGATGAACACCAGATTGCATGGTTTCACCTCAAAATGTTAAATATACTCTCGATTAATAGTAGCCACAGGAGACTCTTCTTGAAGAACTCAGGTCTAACAAGACAGAAAAGTGCCTGGAAAGACACTCAGTGGTATGTTAACACTCACCAGTATGTTAACAGCCAGGGACATTCTGTAAGAAAAGAATCCTGAGGTGACTCTGAAGCCAGCATCCTTTTGCAGCATCAATGACAACTTCTCTGCCTTAGTTACTTTTCTGTAAGACACCATGACTGAGGCAGCTTATAAAAGAAAGCATTGAATGCTTACATGCTTAGTCCCAAAGCGTTAGTCTATGACCATCACAGCAGGGAACATGGCGGCAGGCAGGCATGGTTCTAGCTAGACCTGTAGCTGAAAGCTTCCATCCTATCCAAAGTTGGCGGCATAGAGACAGACTAGGCTTGGTGTGGGCTTTTGAAACCTCAGAGCCTACCCCCAGTGACACACTTCCTCCAACTAAGAACCAAACATTCAATTATGTGAGCCTATGGGACCATTTTCATTTAAACCACACCTCCTTTGCAGGATTTGTGTTCTGAAAGAATAGGTAGATGAATCTGTATCATGTCTGTGTTGGGCAGGGTCCTCTCTAGAACTGAGAGAATATGTGAATGTGTGGCAGTACACTAGAATGGCTTATAGCCTGGTAATGGCTTATAGGCAGGACCAGGTAATCCCCACAGTGGCTAGAGGGGAGAACCTGTTTCTCTCAGGCTACAAAGCCCAATGCATCAGGAATTCCAATATAGTGCTGAGGGACTCAATGAGTCCTGGGAAGCTGCATTCATGTATACTTGGGAAGGTCAGAGGACAACTCGTGGGAGTCTGTTATCTCCTTCCAGGTGAACCCAGAGGATCAAACTAAAGTTGTCAGGCAGGCATCTTTATCCACTGAGCCATCTTGCTGGCTCCTCTAGTTATATTTTACAAAATAAGAAAAGGAGGGTTTACTTTCAAAAGAAAGCAGTAAAAATCTTTTAACTGTGTCCCCAAATTAGTGCATAGTCTCATTTTTAACTGTGCCTAAATTAGTTCATAATCTTACTATTAACTAAATTAGTACATAGTTCCACTGACCAAAAAATTTATCGGATTAAGCATTAACTAGAAAGCATATTGACGGGTACCAAAATGGTATCACTTTAGCTTTAAGGCCTACAATGATTTTTTTTTTTACTAGTGGAAATGTGGCTGCAAATGTCCTCATGTACATCACAGGTGATGGTTTGTCCAGATACATTTTGTAGCCTCACTGTGGATTTGTTTTCAGAGGGTTCCTTTCCTCAAAAGTGAACTATAGAGTTATGCATCAGATTATGCTAAATTGAGATTTAACTGATATGCTTTGAAAAGATTAACCATACACTTCCACAAAACGAACAAACAAACAAACAAATCCTCCTTGAAAGTGAATACAAATTAGGAAAGAGGCATTAAAATAGCCCATTCACTAGAAGAAACAAAGTTTGTCTCGCCAAGCCAAACACCTGAAATTCCAACCCCTTACTAGCAATAACTGAATGAAGAAATGACTTGGTAGTAAATCTCAAGAACTCTATTTATTGTAGCAAACACTTTGGCATTTGAGAGAACTCAGATTTTCTTTGAAACAGGTTTAAATTTATACAATGAAATCAGACAGAATAGTCTTTATTTAAAAAAAGAAAAATCCAAACCACCAAAAGATACTTTATGTAATAACAAAACATAAAAAGGAAAGTCATGATGGAATGAAAAAGACAACTAGGCAATAAACGTAGAAATACTGGCATCTGTCTGCCTAGTGTGCCTTGTGTCATCACTGCACACCTGACACAGGCCTGATGGAATTCAGATGACCCTGCAAGACCTACTTGGAATTTAAAAATTTCATCAGTAATTTCCTTCAACTTCCAATTTAAAGATTTTTATAATTAATATTAGCAAAATATTTCACACTTTCAGTCTTGCTTCAGCCTGGTTCTTAACATCATGTCAAACTCCCTTCTACATGGAACTATATTAGACTTTCTTTTGAAGTCAGGCTCCCACTTTACCACAATCATGATTAAGTGATGTCATTTGTGCTAGCAGTGTCCTACGTGAAGGAGAAGGAAGGACGTCAACATGGTCACTGAAGTCCCTGTCTTATTCAATCAATTACAGATCATCCAGCGGACACTGTGCTTTGGTATCCAACATTTCTCAAGTGTCAATTTCTAATAATGTTCCATCCCAGTGAGTTTCTTAGGTTAAGTTAGGGCAATTTCAGCTCTGTAAACACTTGCTTGGCCAGCTGTTTCCTTGAATTGGATTGGTTTTTGCCCCGAAGAAAGCTGCTCCAGGGAAAGTCACGTCTTACCCGTATGTCCAGATCCTAAAACTATTATTTTCTGCAAAAAGACAGAAGGACCAAGCAATCTATGGTTATTTCTCTATGTAGCCTTGGCTGGCCTGAAACTCACTATGTAAATCAGGCTAGCTTTGAACTCACAGAGATCCTCTTGCCTGTCTCCAGAGTGCATACACCACAACACCCAAGCCTTGAAAGCTTTCTCAGTCAAGAAGTTGCCTACCCATTGCAAACACAGTTGCCCTCAGGAAAGCATGGCTGAACTGAGCCTGTCCTCAGCTCCTCACAGCTCATCGGATGTGATGTTCACTTTGGGTAGGTTACATTCTTTGCTGGTTTGACAGCTCTGAAGAATGTCCTTGTAGTGGTTCTTCAGATCCTCGTACAAGGCAACGGTTTCTTGTGAGTGAGCCAAGGGTAACACTTTTTCATTCAGCAGCATCTGTACTTGGAATTCTTCTTGAGGGGTCTTTGCGTTTTCACAATGGTAAAGCACAAATATCAGGTTCGAGGCATAAGGTACGATGTGACCACTTCGGAACTTTCGATGGGCTTGCTCCTTAAAATTATATGCTGTCAGGGGCTCCTTATCTTTGAAATAGCCCATGAGCGAGAGCAGCGGCAGGAGGGTCTCTGCATGACCAAACTGGAGGATGACTGGAGAAGAAATCGGCTGAGACCTAAAATGAGAAATTGAAGGGAAAACTTATATATTCATGTCATAAAACATAATGTTTACACTTAGTGGCACCTAATTTTCTCATTTTAAAATGTAACCCCAGCTCTAATTTTTTTTTTTTATTACTATTACATTTAGTGTATAAGTTAGGGGAGGCTCACTTATGCTGTGAAATATTCCTTTACACAGTATGAATATATGTGTTTCTGTGATTGGTTTAATAAACAAGCTGACTGGTCAATAGCTGAACAGAAAGAATAATGGTAGGCAGGAGAGCCAGACTAGGAGAATCCTGGGAAGAAGAAGGGCGGAGTCTGGAGTTGCCAGCCAGACGAAGAGGGAGCAGGAGGTGAACATGCCATGCTAATAAAGGTACTGCCATGTGGCAGAGCATAAATAAGGAATATGGGTTAACTTAAAATGTAAGAGCTAGTTAGTAATAAGCCTGAACTATTGGCTGAGTATTTATAATAATTTAAGTCTCTGTGTTTATTTGAGAGCAGCTGTGGGACAGGAAAACTCCTATATACTAATGCCACAGCACAGAGGTCAGAGGACAAATGTTAGGAGTTGATCCTCTCCTTCCACCAGATGGGTCCAGTAAACTGAACTTGATGGTCAGGCTTAACAGGCAGGCACCTTTACCCACTGAGCCATCTTGATGACTCCTATTTAAAAAGTTCTTTATATATTAACTCAAGCATATAGCTGAAATTCTGTGGGAGAACTACACTATTTTTACAGTAAATGTTAAGTTCTAGGAATTAGGATATCCAGCGTGCTGCAGAAATCTAAAGAAGAATATGACCATTCTGTTGAGAAGACCCTGGAGTGTTCACTTTAGCACTGAACTGCCTGCCTTTCTGTGCGGTACTGCGTGAGCTAGTTCCTGGGAAGACTGACCCATGGAGCACTCCCTAATGAATGACCACATTTAAAGTGTTGTCTTTTATCTTTTCTCAACAGGTATTTTTTTCGTGTGTGTGTGTGTGTGTGTGTGTGTGTGTGTGTGTGTGTGTTTGTGTGTGCATACACGTGTACATTTTTGCACTGTGTAGAGACCAGAAGAAGGTACTGTGTGCTAGCCTCTATCATTTTCCTTTGAGACTGGAGGTTTTCCCCCAAAGTCTGCCTTTTTTTTTTTCTTTTCTTTTTTTTTTTTTTTGGTGAGGCCAGAACCCAGCAGACCCCAGTAATTCTCCTGTTCCTGTCCCCCTAGAGTGAACTAACAGGCATTTGTGAGGATAAGTACAATAACACTCATGTATATACATGCTGGGCAGAGAGACCAAAAGGGATGAACATAAATTATGAGTTCAAAGCCTTGTTAAACACATCCAAACTATAGAAGAAATTAATCTACGTTGTGATCCATTTGAACTACAGTTTAAACCTAAGAACACATGGGTTCTATCACTGAGCTTGCTATAATCCCAGCCCCTGACCCAAATTTTAAATCTGAAGATTCTTTATGCTTAAATTAAAAAAAAATTAGTCTAATTTTTTTTTGTCTCCCTTGCTATCAACAATACTGTAAAATCATCAAGTTTTCAGAAGGAAGTTAAGGAAAATGGTACTTTAAAACATTTATTGTGGAGCTTGAGAGGTGCAATTCAGAGCACATACTACTCCTGCAGAGGGCCCTAGTTTGGTTCAGCTGTTTAGAGCACTGGCTGTTCTTCCAGAGGATCTGGGTTCTATTCCCAGCACCCACATGATGGCTGGCAACCATCTATAACCCCAGTTCCAGTGGCCCCAGTGCCCTCTTTTGGCCTCTATGGGCACTGCATACGTGCAGTCATGCAGTGTACATCCATCCATCCAAGCAAAACCTACACATAAAATAAATCATTTAAATTTAAGACAGTTTATAACAGGAAGGAAAAGTTTCATTTTTATAAATGTCACCATATTACCGTCTAATACAGACCATTCTGTTGCTGTAGTTTTTCTTGTCCTGCTAGTTCCCACCACTGTTTCAGCCCCAAATAAACACATGGACACTATATTAATTATAAAACTGTTGGCTGATGGCTAGGGCTTTTTATTGGCTAGCTCTGTCTTAAGTATTAACCCATAACTACTAATCTGTGTATTTCTACATGGCCTTATCTTACCAGAGAATACCTGGCGCATCCTATCCCCTGGTCCTCCGTGGCATCCCTTCTTGGTACCTCTCTGCCTATCTTTCCCAGAATTCTCCTCATCTCCCAGTCCCACCTATCTTCCTGCCTCTATTGGCCAAACAGTGTTTTATTCATCAACCAATAAGGGAAACAGATATACAGAAGGACATCCCCCATCACCATTCTACTATAAAAGTTTGCAATACATAAAAAACAGAATGTTAAATTCCTGGCTAATATGCCAATAACAAAACAAAGATAGTTACAATTATAGCTAAAGATAAAGATATTTCCAATTCCCCAAAAACAGTCTACAAAATGAGAATCATTGAAAGCAGTCAGAACATGATTTTACTAATTCCAAATGTACCTGTAGGAAATAACAACTATTCAATAGTTTATATCTTCTACAGTAACCAAGTGAAGATATTTTAAGTTTATAAAATAATGAGCATGATTTCATGTGTGATGTTTTTTCAGCCTTTACTGTGGCTCAAAGCATCCAGCCTGAAGCAGATGTTCTTGCAACTAAGAAAAAGGGAACAAGGTGATGCTGCTCATATCAAAATAAAGGGTCCCGAATAAAATGGCCACATTCTATTTTGCAAGATGTAATGAGGAACAGCCTTTTCAAAGATCCATTAGGCTAATCTGCTAGGTGTAGCAGAAGCATCACCCCATGCCAAGTGCTGGGCACTACGCCATTGCTCACATGGGTTGGGGAGAGGAGGAAGGCAGGTAAGACAACAACAAGGAAATGTATTTTGTCTCACATGGACAGTAGCATCTAACTGTTGGGGAGTTCTTCCATCTGAGGAGGAACTTGCTAAGAGGCAGTGTATGGAGAACCCCACGTACATCCTGCTTCCTGCCCTGATAACTGGACAAAGTGCAGCAGCTGGCTTGCACTTCGAATGCAGGAACACACCTGTATTCACTGTATACAGGAACACACTGGAATTCACTATATAGACCAGAACAGCCTTAAACTCACAGAGATTCACCTGTCCCTGCCTCCCAAGTGCTAGGATTAGAGAAAGGCATGCTCTACTACATAGGCTGTAAAGTATTTTAAAAGATTGTTTTCCTTCAGGTAGGATATACCTGAACATTAAAAATAAACTGTGGCTTGGTATCCTGGCTCTGGATGCAAGTTCATGCTATTTTTTAAGCCTTCACAAACTTGAGCACCTGCTAAACTGGGCAAGTAGAAGGTAGGGCCTCCACATCTGAAAACCGAGGGCACAGTAACATATTCAGCAAGTTACACCTAGTGAAGATAAGCCACTTCCTTTGCAGAGTTGCTGGACTAAACTATAGCAATAAAACAGCAGGCAGCACAGAACAGCAAATCAATGTGTGACAGCAAACATTACCAAGAGCTGAGGAGCTGCAGCAGCAGGGGTCATAGGTCACACACATTACTGGTGTAAGGGTTTAGACTCCAAGAGGCCGGTTCACATGGTGCTCCTTCTAAAACACTACCCTGAAGACACTGTGTCAAATGCTACGCTCACCTGACTGAGTGACATTTTAAAACTCACCAGATACCCCAAAGCACCAACCCTAAAGTAGAATTTCAGGTACCCCATGACTCAAGTTTCATCAAAGCCAAAACTGAAAAAAAATGACATGGAAGAAAAATCTTAACTTCCTCTCATATAAGAAAATACTTGTATGAAGAGTAGAAGAAGTCATCTAGGAAAACAGGCACTTGTTTACTATCAAATCACTGCTAATTTAAAATAATTTCAAACCCGTTTCTATCCGGGAATAAAACAGTGTCCCACCAGCTAGCTGAGGAAGACTGTGGTGTGTCAATGTTTGGTCCCCAGGCTCTTAGGCTAGAAATCGGGATCCGCCAATTTCTAAGGCATGCCCATGTCTAATCATGGGGAGTAAGACAATGGCTTAAGTTCTTAACTTGGCAGAAATTCTTCCAAGGATATATAAAATGCAAGGACCATCTAAGACTTTTGGTCAGAAGTGGCATACAGTAAGAAAACAGATTAAAAGTGTTAAGACTTTCTTGTTTCTCCTTGTGGTGCTAGTGGTTAAATCTGGGGCTTTGTATGGGCGAGGCAAGCATTCTACCATTACCCCATTCTTCCAGACCTTTCCTCGCTTTGACTTTAGAGACCAGGTCTCACCACATAGCTCAATATCTCTAGGAATTCACCATGTAGCTTAGGCTGGTATCTAATTTTTTGATCATTTTACCTCAACTTTCCTAGTGCTGGGATTATAGGCAGGCACTGCCATGTATGACCAATACACACACACACACACACACACACACACACACACACACACACACACACACCTTATTCTTGATGTTTTTCATTTTAAATACAGCATGAAAAGAGTTTAATAGATGGCTAGCTTGAGGCTTTAAGGGAAAAAAGGTGATAGCCTACTTTCGATTAAGGTATAACCTGGAGAGCAAGGCTCCTTATATAGCCTAGCCAGGTCTCTAACACGTGATCCTTCTGACTGAGCCATTTGAGTGTTGGGGTGGCTGGGAGTTTGCACCATGACAGACTGGGCCACAGACTCTCAATAGCACTTCCAGAATAACAGCTCAGAACATAAACTGCTTAAGTCTCAGACAAACATTTTTCTTCACTATTTTGTTTCATGTAGCCCAAATCAACTTCAATACTATTGGGGATTTAAGTAAAATACATAGAGATAAGAAAGCAATGGCTACCCTTCAAGGCTCTCCAAGAGCACAGCCTTCTTCCTCAAGGCTCCTATGAAAGCACAAGAAAAGCATTTACATCAGTTTTGGGATATAAAACTCAAATCAACTTAAGACGATAATTTTTTAGTCATTTTAAAATCATAAAGCTCAAATCAAGAGTTTATTTACAAC